ACAATGATTCCTAAAAAGTAATCTACCAATAATAACACTGATCGATCATACCTTCTTTCTCTTGTAGCAAGGATTTCGCTCCCATTCCAAAAGACATTCCATCTTCGGTGTCGCTTTCTCTATCATTTTCATCTTCATTATATGAAGTATCATCGAAAATTGAAGTTGCAGAGGGCCAAATTTCCCCATCAATGAATCTCCAGTGTTTATGAATCCTGAACCAAATACGTTTTATTCAGCGGAGAAGACATGTAATTTGAAAATCCGAGCGACTTCAAGCAAAATATTAATTGAAATATTTACTCATTGAAACACTATATACATCAAATATTCTTCGAGTGGTCAAATTTGCATTGAGAACTTACTTTGTTCTGTGATTGAGACATGCTCGAAATCGAACTACCAAATATTTTGGTGGTTGTTGGTATGTAACCACTACCAAACGTTCTAGTGTTCTGACCAGTTAAAGTATATTCTATTCAAAGGTAAAATAAAGTGCTTCTCATTTAACTTCCGAATTACTTTGACAGTTTATAAAGTAAAACACGAAGTTTCTAATTTTTTTGTCTTAATAATACTTTATTATGACGAGATGATTTACAAAAATTGGCCAATCATAATAAAGCCCGCTATACTGCCGTACCCTGGTTGATGTACAGGCATTAGTCATCCAGCAACGAGGAAAAGCACCGTTCGTTCAGATTGACCAAATCTTTGGAGTTCAACAGATGCCATGGGTCGGAATTGATCTTGTGAATTAGGTAATGATGAATTCTCTCGTCACCGTCGCTTGGTGAAAATTCCGTTGATGATTTGAACCAAATTGTCATGCAACCATTTGGATTTGTTCTCCAAGATATGTTTCTGTAATTTTCCGGTCACCTCGTCGATGCCAAAATGATCCACGATCTTCAGAAGGTCGATGCAGAGCGCCCTATCCAATTCCAATTCGTTCACACTCTTGTAAAAGAATCGCTTGTAATGGAGAGAAGGATTAAGTTGGGTGAGTGGGTCAGAACAATAAATAAATCAGGAAGACCGAGCATTTGAGATTTACCTGAGCAATGCCCAAACCGGGGTTTTTACTAATAATCGTTCTTTTTACCAATTTTTCAACCAAGCATTAAACAATTCCCAAGAAAAAGTTTGGGACACCACAGTGGAATAGAACTACCTGGGGCTAATGTATTCGGCGAAACCTGAGGTTCTCTAGAACTTTACATGTGAGGTAGGATGTTTCGAAAGTATCGTGATTTCGATTCCAGCACATCTTCGCCAACTTTAACTAACACATCAAATTCCTTTTGCGAATAATATTCTGGGAATGAATCTGAAATGCCAATTAGTAGTTCGTAATCGTCGCTCTCCAAAAAATTCAGCAAGTCAATACAAACCATTCATTCCGGGTGAGATTTAAAGGCGGAAAATGAACAACTCTCCCGCCGAGAACAATGTTTCGTTTCGTTTCGTTTTAAGGAGTACTTCTTGTAAAAACTTTATCTAATAACACTAACGGTTCTGGGGAAAGGCATCTCTGATGGAATGACATAAACCCTGGCATGATAGATCTAACTACAAACAATATGCAAAGAGTTAATTTCCCATAAAAATATATATAGCGAAATGGAATAAACCAATAAAATGAAATTCACGTGATTACCTTGGTATATCGGCTTATCGTTTAACGCTTAAGCTATAATAAAATTTTGGTGTTAAAATCATGTGACTTATTTTATAAATGGAACAATATCCATTGACTTACCATTGGAGCAATGGAACATTGAACTGGAGCATTGTTCCAGTTGGTCACTGGAGTACAATGTAACAACGCTACCCTGAGCATACTGACAATCATTCCAGCCCACATGCAGCAACTGAAGATTATGCAACCCCTTCTGAACACAACAATAATCACCACAGCACGTGTAAAACCAACACAGCCCAAGCATCGATTGACAACACCACAGTGCCTAATACATCCCTAAGCACAAACATCCCAACACAAACTAGCTTCAATATGGAAATTGACGAACACCTTTCCCTTACCCAATCAGTTGAAACCTTGGAATCTCTTCCTAACTTATGGGCAGATGAAACCAATAAGTTTCTCAAACCAACACAGGCCACAACACCTACTGTAAACAACATTAGAGATAACACACCTTCTGATGAACAGAAAAAAATCCTAGAACTATATGAAGAATTTAACAAATATGATAGGACTCCTAAAGCCATCATTGATCTTTTTTTAAAAATCAAAGCTGACCTAACTAGATCCCCCAGAACAACTCTAAAAGGTATTTTCTTCAAGATTAAGCACAGGAACCGTAACTTCTTTAGAACATTTGCCAAAGACAAGCTGATCAAGGGACAACACCAGAAAGAATATGAGTCCATTGAGAAGAAATTTCATTCCAACTATCACAAAGCTAACAACTTGGGATATATCACAAAATCAATTAAAAACAAAATCAAAAAACTAATCAACAAAGCCCTTTTCATCACTTATCTTAGATTAACAGATCTTACTCTTCTCAAATACTGGCAAGTAGCTCAGCTGCTAGAATATGGTTTTAACTTCTTCGTGGATCCAACTTTGAAAAAAGTGGACTACCAGGAACTATATCAAACCTACGAAGCAATGATCCAAAAAAACCTATCTGAACTTCCTGAGGACCCAAAAGACATCCCCATAACAATAATCATTAGACTACCTAAAGCCATTCCAATTACAAAAGCCAGCGACACTAGTGAAGTCGCAAGTAGTCTCAGAGCCTTCTACAACTTTGATCTCTTACCTACCTCCTACTTCGAAAAAAGACCTGACCTCCCAGCTGATCCAATCGATCTTAACAATGAAACAAACCATTTGTTCCCACTTATGGAGAGATACAAACTAGCGGATCTCAAATTTTGTGTCAATAAATTAAGAGAATTCTACTATGTCCCAAGCAAACTTCCCGACTCTTACTTCAACCTTCCTCCACCAAAACTCCATCTTCCACCTACATATAAGGATTTACCCCTATATCTTGCCAAACACTTTCCTGTGAACAATAGTATTGAGAATTTCAAGAAAAGAGTACAACTTTTCAGAGACAACAACTACGCTGTCAAGCACCTTTCACTTGACTATATCAAAGTAAAACGTCCACTTCCTCCCTCTTATTGGTACAGTAAAAATAACTCAATCCCTCTACCAGTAACCACTCAGAAAGAGGCTGACGACTTGATTAAGGATCTTAAACAAAAATTCTTCATAAAACTTCCTCTAGGACCTGAATGGATCAGTGACAACCTGGTTCAATCAAACAAACCCAAACTTCCTGACGATTTTAAAATTGTTGAAACAGAACTCAATATTTCTAAAGAGCAAATAAATAGAGACACACCTGATTTCAAACAAACTATTACAAAAATTAAAAACAAGTATATAGGAGAGATTCCGAGAGAATGGATTATTCCACTTCTCCCAGAGTTGCCAAACCTTGCCGATGCCAACAAACATCTCACTGAAACTAATGCTGACTTTGCACTACCCTTCGTAGATAATCTTTACCTGAATGACAATATCAAAGCCTTAAACAAAATCTTCCACTTTAATAAACTTCCACCTGAATTCATAATTGAACCTGAGTCACCTGAACCAAAGATGACTCTTCTCCCCAAACTTATTTAATAAAGACTGCAAACCATCCCAACTCTCAACCTTCCTTAACTAGCCACCTAACAACACGTATCGCTTCCAAAAATATTCTAAATACATCTCATCAACTATCACCCCCTTAACCCACCCCAAGAATATCATCAAGAAACCTGATTACTATATCTACTCTTAATGTCCAAGGCCTCTCTCAAATGGGCAAGCATAGTGAACTTATCAAAGCAATTACAAATAACAGAAGTATCCTCTGCTGTTCTGAAACAAAAGTATCCTTAGGAAACCCACTTCCAAAAAAACTTAATAACTGTACAATCATCTCAAGCGTACCTTCAGTCTGTACAAGTAATGGGACCTGTATTATCACCACTAAGTCTATCAGCAACTACATCTTTAACACATTTACTCAAAATGAATTCTGGTGCACCATCCATCTCAAATTCAAGCCAAAAGTCAATATTATAATAATCTCCTGTTACTTGCCACATGAAAGATTAGCAAGAAAACAT